AACTCATGACTCTCAGCCTCACCAGCTCTTTCTTCTGCGCTCTCTTTCTCCTGCTCCTCCTCCTGCTCCTCCTATACTCGCCATCGCTTCGGACGTACGTTTCCTGTGTTGCGTTGTTTCGTTGGCTGCGTGTGCGTGGCTCCGTGGTCTATTGTCTGTGGTTTTTTTCGTTTGTTGGACTCCACCACCCCCTTCCCCCCCGACGACGTCGACGTCGTCATCGACGTCGAAAAAAAGTCCGAGCGATGCCGAGACTCCTCCTCCTCCTCCTCCTCCTCCTCCTCCTCCTCCTCCCCATCCTCCTCCTCCGCATCCTCCTCCTTCTCATCTGCCTCCTCCTCCTCCTCGTCCTCGTCCTGCTACTCCTTGTCATCCCTCCTCCTCCTCAGCTGCTCTTCTCCTGCTCCTCCTCCTGCCCCTCCTGCTGCTCCTCCTGATCCTCCTCTCGCTCTGCCTATTGAACGCTCCCATCGCCCTCCTATGTTCAACTGCTTCTCCGACTCCTTCCAATGTTGCTCCTCCGACTCTCCTCCTGCTCCATTCCGCTGCTGCTCCTCCGACTCTCCTCGAGGCTGCTCGTGCCGTCGGCGGTCATGGCATGCACCGTAGATGTTTTGGTCCAATTTCAGGGTATTCTGAAATGGACGCGGACACGGCCGACACCTCAGCAATTGCTAAGGCGATTGCCCCATTCATAAAGCGACCCGCGTTTCTCGCCGTGGCCGATGTCAAGGGCAAGGGGGTCCGCCGCTCGATCGAGGACAACGCCGACTTCATCAGAGCAACGATAGAGGTGCATCCCCCATCGTCGCCGTCGTCGTTGTCGTCGTCGTCGTCGTAGTCGTCGTCGTAGTCGTCGTCGTCGTCGTCGGTGTCGTCGTCGTCGTCGTCGTCCGTCGTCCGTCGTCGTCGTCTCCGTCGTCGTCGTTAATTTCATTCTCAGTCTCATTGTCGTCGGTGTCGTCGGTGTCGTCGTCGTCGTCGTCGTCGTCGTCGTCGTCGTCGTCGTCGTCGTCGTCGTCGTCGTCGTCGTCACCTATTCCCCCCCTGAAGAGGAGGGGGGGGAGGAACTTCGGGTTTCGGGGAGGGGGTGGACGAGGACTAGGGCGGTTGTCGGTAGGAGTGCGCTAGGAGTGCGGTAGGCGTGCGGTAGGTGCGCGTAGGTGTGCGGGAGGTGTGAGGGAGGTGTGCGAATTCTACAACCGTCGAGGTCGAGTGCAACCCCGCCTTGAGGTGCGGTTTCACTCGACCTCGACGGCTGTAGAATCTGTCATGGCCCAAACCTCGCGTGCACGCGTGGTCTGGGCCGTGACGATGGGACGGAAAATTGACCTCCGCACCTAGAGGTGCTTCCGTCTCTCGGCTTGCTCAAGCGGGACTGCGAGGACATGCTGGGCGAGATTGCCAAGCAGAACGGGTTCAAGTTCAAGAGCGACGACGAGAAAACCAGTTGGCAGTCGACGATGGGGAAGCGGCTCAAGGACTACTGGCGCCAGATCAACCTCAGCAGGTACAAGAAGGACAAGGCGCCCGCGTGGTTCAGGTCGCTGGGCTTCTCTGGCGAGGGCGGAGGCGCAGAGGCTGAAGCTGGCGAAGAAGAGGGCGAGGAGCAGGCCGGCGAGGCCGGCGAGGACGAGGATGAGGACGCGGAGGAGGATGAGGAGGAGGAGGAGGGAGAGGAAGAGGAGCAGTCAGAGGAAGACCCTCCAGAAGATGGCAACTCCGACGGCGCACCGCCCTGCAGGAGACCAGCAGCAGCGGCCGCTGGCTCGATCGTCTACTCGTTCGGCTACGACAAGGACACTGGGCTGGCCTACCGCTGGCCAGAGGGCTCCAACAAGAAGAGCCACACCGAGTGGGCCAAGGAGATGGTGCCTCCAGATCAGAGCTCCGAGACCGACCCCATGGTGGCCATCTTCAGCGACGGCAGCACGAAGAGCGTCATGCAGACCACGGTGAAGAAGTGGATGGCCGAGTTCGGCGACAGCGCAACCCTGCGCAGGCCAGCAGCAGCAGCAGCAGCAGCGCGAGCAGCAGCGCCGACGGGAGCAGCAGCAGCAGCAACAACGCCTGAGCTGTTCGTGGGCTACATGGACACGGAGAAGATCGACGTGCACTTTCGTTGGGACGCGCCAGGCGGCCGCAAGATTCGGTACATCTGCCTGCGCCACGCTGGCCAGGGCCAAATCGTGCAGCTGAACGTGGAAGCGTTCGCAGCTGATGGGGAGAGCATCGCCGTCTCCAGCCAGCGGAGCAAGCTGGAGAAGCTCGCCGCCGAGTGGATGAACCCGATCGCCAAGAAGTACGCGGAGGGCACGCTCGACAAGGAGGGCGTCTGCAACAAGAAGAAGGAGGACTTCCCGCAGACGCAGATGAAGCGCAGGCCTGCAGCAGCGGTCCAGAAGAGGCCAGCCACCAAGCCTTCTTCGCCAGCGCCTGAAACGCCCAAGACCCCGCCGCCGAAGAGTCGGCGCTCTGATGATAAGGAGGTCCCGCAGCCGTGGGAGCCCGAGGATGTCCCAGACGCGGGCAAGCGCCCCAGGCTGTCTCCTCCGCCCAGCCCGACCATGTAGACATCCTACATACTGTGCACTTGCGTGCACATTGTATTGCATCGAATTTTCGATTGGATGAGGGCTGATTTGGCAATGTCAGAAAGGATTGGGGGAGGAGGAGGGAATAAGGAGAGGAATGAGGACTGGAGAATGGCCGAGGACCTCTCATTGCTCGAACTCTCTATAGGCCGCCAACGCCTTCAGACAGATAATTTGTGCGCTCTGAAGCGTCAGACTGTTGGGCGGCGAAGCCTTGATGGAACGTCGTGGCTCATCCATCATCCCCCCGCCTCCTCCATCCGTCCTCCATCGACGTCGTCGGCCCCGTCGTCGGTCGTGGACGGCGTGGACGTCGTGGACGCGACGTCGTCGTCATCGTCGTCGTCGTCGTTGTCGTCGATCGTCGTCGTCGATCGTCGTCGTCGCCTTCATTCGTCGGTCGTCGTGGGTCTTTAATCCTCATTGTCGTCGTCGTCGTAGTCGTCGTCGTCGTCGTCGTCGTCGTCGTCGTCGTTGTCTTTGCCTTTATCGTCGTCGTCGTCGTCGTCTTCCTTCGTCGGTCGTCGTGGGTCTTTCATCCTCGCCGTCGTCGGTCGTCGTCGCGGTCGACCCCATCGGCTTTCGGCAGGGCCAGGGCCTCGATCCAACCGAATCCCGATTCCAGGGCCAGGGCCTCGATCCAACCGAATCCCGATTCCAGGGCCTCGATCCAACCGAATCCCGATTCCAGGGCCAGGGCCTCGATCCAACCGAATCCCGATTCCAGGGCCTCGATCGGTCAGAATGCTGTGCTGTCTGCGCGCCTCTCTCTCTCTCTCTCTCTCCCCCCATCTCCCTCTCGAGTCTGTCTCCTCATCTGGTGCTGGCGCCAGGCCCAACTGCTCGGCGAGTCGCTCGCGCACACGTCGGCGGCGGCACTGAAGGCCGCGCAGGTGGCCACCGAGGGGATGCAGAGTCTCACGAGGGGGCACCAGGCCAGCGAGGGGAAAACGCGGGCGGCGGCCCGCGAGGGGAAACGGGGGCAGCTGTTGGAGCCCCCCCCCCTCAGGAGGGGATGGGAGGAGGAGGAGGAGGAGGAGGAGGAGGGAGGAGGAGGAGAGGGCGAGGAGGAGGAGGACGAGGAGGAGGAGGAGGAGGACGAGGAGGAGACGGACGAGGGGGAGGAGGGAGAGGGAGGAGGAGGAGGAGGAGGAGGAGGAGGAGGACGAGGAGGAGAAGGACGAGGGGGAGGAGGGAGAGGAGGAGGAGGAGGAGGAGGTTGATGGGCGAAGCGTCGCTGGCGCACTAATGCTGCACCCCCTCTCGTTCGAACCTCACCACCGCTTTTCCCTGGCTCCCTCCCCTCCGCGCTCATCATCTTTCGACCTCCTCCACCCCCTCCCTCTACTTCCCCTCCGCCGCCTCCTTCTCCTCATCCTCTTCCTCCCCCTCCTCCTCTTCCTCCTCCTCTTCTTCCTCCCCCTCCTCCTCCTCCTCCTCCTCCTCCTCCTACCGCTCGTCTGGCAACTTTTGCCGTGCCATTACTTGTTTCTCTGCAGGCTCAGGTTGCGGACGCCGCTTACTTCGAGGAGGAGTTGATGAAGATGTTCATCGACAGCGGGCTGCAGGACATGGAGATCGAGAGCGAGGACGACGACGACACCACCTCCCACCTGAAGGACAAGTTGGACAGGCAGTACGACCACTTCTTGGAGCTCTGCGCCATGGAGAACTTCGAGGTGGACGCGGACAGCCAGGTGGGCAAGAGGTTCCGCCGCTGGTGCGCGGCGAACCAGGCGAGGAAGGCCGAGTACGACAAGAAGGACTGCGACGCGAAGGCCTTGGCTCGCAAGGAGTGGGCGAAGCAGAAGTACGAGGAGTACCAGGAGCCAGCCCCGCATAGATCATTTGCCTGCTCGTCCTCCCCTTGCGTGGAGGACGAGCGGGCGAATGCGCTATGCGGCCGAGGAGACACGCAGCAAGATGAAGCAGCAGATCGTCAGCCGCCAGAGGAAAGGCCAGATGCTCAACTTCGAGCAGATCCTCGATAAGGAGGGGGGCTCCGTCGGCGCCATTCCTTCGGCGGCCTGCGTCAAGGGCGCGGTGGAGTCCTGCAAGTGGGCCATACTGCAGCAGGCCAAGAACAGGAACAGTACGTGGGTGGCCATCAGCAAGCGCTCGAAGAGGCTGACTTTCAAGTACGTCGAGGAGACCGAGATCGAGGACGACCGCACCACTTGGAATACAGAGCAGCGCGAGACGAACCCAGTGGTCAAGGAGATCGAGACGATAAAGCCAGCGCCTGCGACAGCGGCGACTGCGACACCAGGGACGGCATCGCAACCGACGGCGCCGCTGGACACTCCGCTGAAGCCAAGCAAGGAGAAGGAGAAGAGGGAGTCACCGAAGGAGAAGAAGGACAAGAGAGACAAGGACAAGAAAGACAAGGGCGCCTCGTCCAGGGCCAAGGCCAAAGCCAAAGGTAAAGGCACCAAGCGCCGTGGAGGCGCTGGCTCTGGCGGGGACACCGCGAAGGCCATGCACAAGCGGGCGTTCGATCTCACCCTCAGCTACGGGGCCGCCACGACCCAGGCGTCGGCCTTGCTGAACAAGATCGAGTCCAAGGACGAGGAGTGGTCGTGGGCGGACAACAAGAAGTTCAAGGGCTCCCTGCAGAAGGCGCTGGAGACCCTGAAGACCGCGGCCGCCAAGAACGAGGACATCAACAAGATGCTCTGCATGGGCGCCTCGGGGGTTGAGATCCGTCTTTCAGGGGTGGGGCCTCGCGCGCTCGATCGCATTTTTTGTGTGGCCCGATAGGGCCGCGAGGGCGAAATCGAGCACGCGTGATCCCCGACCCCCGAAAGAATGTCTCGGCCACAGGCACCGACATGACCATCGACGACGACACTACCAACTTGCCGCAGCTCTCGGTGGAGTTCGGGGAGGTGGAGGACGCCATCGACAGCGTGAAGGCCGCGGCTGCCCGCATCAAGTCGATCAAGGACGGCATGAGCTCCGAGTCGTCGCAGTAGCCGCACGTGGGGGGTGAGGGTGAGGGCCGACGTTCTGGGAAGATGCTCGAGCTCCGTGGCATATGAGAAGCACGCCTTGTAAGCAATCCTCTTCATTATCCTCCTCCTGTCTTAACTCAGCCTCCACGTCCATATCTTCCTTAAGTCCCTCCTCCTCCTCCTCCTCCTCCTCGTCCTACTTCCCCCTCCTCCTCCCAGGCCACCCCTGCCTGCACCCCCAATTTCGTATGTGTGCGTCATTGCGAAACTCTTTGGGCTTCATGAAGCCCAAAGAGTTTCGCAATGGCGCACACATACGAACGTGGTGATGCTTCTCATGTGAATCGGTTCGAGGCGGAACCATTGCCACAGTTTCAAGACCGCGCAACCTGCGTACGGCAGGTGCTGGAGGCTTGGGGAAGCCCCCGCGGCGCGTGCTGGACATTGGGGAGCTCCCCGCGGCTCAGCTGATGCTGCTCGTGGGGTCGTTCGAAAAGGATTCGTAGCCCTTCGGACGCGATCTCACGGCAGGGTGGTCCATTTGTGTCGTTCGAGGGGGGTGTCGAGCAGCGGAGCAGCGGCCGCGGAGCCGCAGCAGAGTGGCGGTAGATCTGCGGTAGATCTGCGGTAGGTTTGCGGTAGGTGTGCGGTAGGTGTGCGGTAGGTTTGCGGTAGGTGGGGCGGTAGGTTTGCGGTAGGTTTTCGGTAGATTAGCGATTTCGCCTGATACATCCTCACAATTTGGCCGGTAGGTGGCCGGTAGGTGGCCGGTAGATTTGCGGTAGGTGGCCGACAAGTGGGGCGGTAGGAGGCCGGTAGGTGGCCGGTAGATTTGCGGTAGGTGGCCGGTAGGTGGGCGGTAGGTGGGTGGTAGGCGGCTTGTAGGTGGCCAGTGGTGCGGTCGGAACGTCGAGGAGCTCGACATTCGAGCTCCTCGACCTCCTCGTTCTCCTTCCTACTCATCCTCCTCCTCCTCCTCCTCCTCCTCCTCCTCCTCCTCCTCCTCCTCCTATCTCCTCCCTTTCTCCCCTTTCCTTCCTCCTTCCTCCTTCCTCGTTCTCCTCCCTCATCCCTCCCTCCTTCCTCTTCTTCATTATTTTCTTACTCTTCCTCCTCCTCCTACTCGTATCTCCTTCTTTTTCCTCCTTCTTCCCTCCTCCCTCCCTGCTTCCTCTTCCTTCCTCCTCCTCCTTCCTCCTCCTCCCTCCACCTCCTCCTTCCTCCACCTCCTCCTCCTCCTCCCACTTCCTCCTCCCTCCCTCCTCCCCCCTCCTCCTCCCTCCTCGCGGGCGATGTGTGCCATGTTGTTCTAGCTTTCCACCCCTTCGGTCAAGCAATCAGTCGCTCGCTTGCGGGTTCTGCGAGGGAACACGGAGGAGGTGGACGAGGAGGAGGAGGGGGAGGCGGAGGGGGAGGACGAGGAGGAGGAGGAGTCGGAGGAGGAGGATGAGGGTGATGAGCGGAGGCCCCCTGATCCTGGATTGAGGAGACTCAACAGTCGCCCGAGACCCTTGGACTTTGCGGCGGGAAGGGGTACTACTACTACTACTACTACTACTACTACTACTACTACTACTACTACTACTACTACTACTACTACTACTACTACTACTACTACTACTACTACTACTACTACTACTACTACTACTACTACTACTACTACTACTACAACTACTACTACTACTACTACTACTACTACTACTACTACTACTACTACTACTACTACTACTACTACTACTACTACTACTACTACTACTACTACTACTACTTATACTACTACTACCACTACTACTACTACTACTACTACTACTACTACTACTACTACTACTACTACTACTACTACTACTACTACTACTACTACTACCACTACTACTACTACTACTACTACTTCTAGTACTACTACTACTACTACCAGTACTACGACTACCACGACTACACGACTACTACTACTA